GCATCTTTGAGGTTCTCAGCCGTATTTGTCCAGGTGACGAGGATCTCGGCGTCGATGAGCTCCTCTGGGATGAGCTGCTTGACATCGTAGGGCTGGAGGTCGACGGAGAAGCCCTTGAGGCTGTCAACGTCGAGCTTGAGCGAGGTAGGGTAGAGGAGCTTCATATTGACTGATTGCAAGGTTGGGAAGATGATTGGGAGAATAATTTTGGTCGAGGGATCTATGAGAGGTGATGTTGATGGTGAAATCTCTCTTCGTAGTTCGTCCATCTTGCCCTCGGTCTAAAATCAAGCGATGCCGGCGAACCATCCCCCACGTATTGCCGCCAGTTAGAGGGGCCGGGGGCGGGGTGGGTGGGGGTCATATGTTCCCGTGACGTCAAACCCTCATCGCGGGGTCGGCAGCTGCTGGCAGGTGGACCAGCGGGCAACAATGAGATGAGATGGAATGAGGGCAAAAGTCCATCGATCGACAGGCATTGCCAATGAGGTAGGCTTAGTTGCTCAGCAATCTGTTTGCGACAGTTGACCAACCACGTTGAAAGTTTCATGTCTGCCTGCCCTTGATTCTGTCCAAGCCAAGATGGGTCCTCTTCGGTACGTGGCATCGCAGACGGCCTGCATATGCGGTCAGCCTGGCCATGTCAGATTACCATCAAGGCCGATATCCAGTCGGAGTATAAACAGACTGTCTGGACAACAATTGAAGAAAAAAGAAATCCAATCGACCCTGTGACGGTCCCTTCTTTCTTCACATCTCTAAGCCGTGGCACTCCCCGTGATAATACACGAACACCTTCAGCCATGGCATTCGCCTCCTCAGATGAAGTTCTCGCAGCGGTGCTATCGAGAGAATACGCTGATTATCGGCATGCACCAGACATCGAGGCTCGTGCCGCCTTCTTATCTCCGCACTGTCGTCAAATATGCCGCCCTCACCCTTCGTACGGAGCTTCTGATCGCCGGGCCATTCTTGAATTCTTGTATGAAGCCTCAGGAGAGCGGCCCTATGACAAGACACCGACACCAATTCAACAGGTTCTCCAATCGCAAGCTGATGTCCCGCCCGGCGCTAAGGCATACTATACTATTCGTCCTCTTAAACAAGGAGAGCTGAGCTTTGGCAATGTTCCTGGGGATCCGGTGCGAGGTTTTATGGATTCTGAAACAATGATGGACATGGCTGTCGACCGAAAATGGGTCGGAATGAGGGTTGACATGTGGACTGATGGCGGGGCCGGCAAGGGGGGCGAGAAGTTGGGGCTGCTGGTGAAGGTGCAGTACTGGTGGACCAAAGAACATGACAAATGGGCACAAATTGCTCACGACATAATGTATTTGGGCTCGAGGGATGGCTCAGAGGGGGTAAACGGCGAGATCCTCCAGTGAAACCCTTAGTTACCCTTGGGGACACGAGGGCCACTAAGATTTTCTTTGCGCAGTACTGGGGCCTAACTAAGTCGAAATCGTAACCTCTTTAAAGGACCTATCAAGGGCTGACTTCAGCGGTTATGGTGGTGTGTGTCTTGGGACGTGATGAGGTTATTCATTCAAAGCGGATACCTGAAAACGCAACTCCGAGCTTTTAAACACTGCTATTGGACCAGCCTGAGAGCGTTCAATATGTGAGTGTTGTAAGTGCGTCGATGTGTCTCAATGGCTCTGGACATAGTACACTATCCGGACCTGAATCATTGATGGCTAGCACAGACGCTGGACCTGAAACCTACCGAGGGGATAAGATGCATCAGTTTGAGGCGAGTACAGACCAATGATCTGTGGTAAGTTTGTCATGTGATATTGGTCGCCTTCGTTGAAGCTCCAGGAGAATCAGTATCCGCGCGTTCGAATAGTATCATTGCCCGCCTGAGCTGCCACATTTGGATTTTACTCCTCACATGGCCAGTCCTGTTGTACGAGGATGTATGATGTGAATCTAGGTGAACATTGGTTAGCAGTTCCTCGCCTGTCCACGGGCAACATATGCCTCCACTTGCACAACTACTGGAGGTCAGCCTTCTGTTGCACCATAAAACGCACTATCGTGGTTCAGCACAGCAGAAGCAAAGTGTGTTGACTGGCATTGGCGAATGATACTCCAGAATCCATGTCACAAGGCGCTCTTGTCATTAGGTAGGTTGGTCCAGCCTTAGTCCAGCCAGGCGAGGAGCGGCGAGGCTACGAGGAACATGAAAAAGTGTACACATCAACATATCCGTCGCACTACCCACCAACTGTTTTTGGCCTAATGCAGTATTAGGCTCTGGAGGTGGCAGACAAAAAAGAAAGTATTGGAACGACCCGGAAGCATGAGTAGGCAGCCTCTCAGAATCCCCCGTGAAGATTATTTCCAGAATAGTGAGGACTCATAGAATATAGGACTCAGGATGCTTACCAAATATTGTCTCACGTGCGCAATATCAACGCGTCCCGTGAGCATTCACGAAGTAAAACCTGCGCCGTGCAAAACGCCTTACTCAGTACCACCAGAATCAATCTGCTTCAACAACAGCTGAAATGTCGGACAAGTGTGGCTCGTGTAAAAGCTACGTCGGTGGCTCTGCAGGACACATTTGAACTACAAAATCCTGTATTAGCACCAACAGCCAGATCGACCTTGAAAACAGTGAAACTATACAGTACAGTAGCTGTGATAAAAGAGTGCACACCGTCAATGTGCTCTGCACCCATTCAGCATGTACTTTTATTGAAAACGACGTATGCCCCTGCGTCCGGTTGCTTTTCGGAACACCACGCAGACGAGATGAATCACAGTTGCGCGAGGGCGCCGTGACACCGACACTATGAGGAGGGTGTG